TATACAGGGTGTCCCGAAGTCCCATGATGACCCTTGGTGAGAACGTAGAACGGATTGAGGTGAGCAAGAAAGTCCTGTGCCGTTTTGCGATATTCGCAATAGTTTTTGAGAAATTAATTATTTTGTCTCAACAAATCAGCGTACAGAAAGCGGCAGCGGAAAGAAAGATGCCTTCGGCCGACGTGCGACCGTGACACTCGCGAATCGTATCTCGCCGCATCCCTCCGCCCATAGCTACGAGACATAGCGAGTCTATATATAATATATATAGTATATTCTATATATACAAGAAATACGAAAAGGATAGCGTGATTATGTTAGTGATGATCGTCTCTGCATTATCGACGTTGTTCGAGTTCGTCATCGACTCCAGCATCCCCTTAAAGCCTGTATCAGACTACCGACTGCACAGGCTGACCCTACTGCCGACTCTCAATGGACCAATCACAATGAGGCGCTGACTCGGCGCTTCACTGTGATTGGTCCATTGAGAGTCGGCAGTCGTAGTCGGCAGTCGGGTCGGCCAGTGCAGTCGGTAGTCTGATACGGGCTTAAAGGGATGCTGGAACGAGCGACGAACTTGATAAGCATTGATAATGTAGAAGCGATCGTCAAAAAGTAGAAAACGTTATCGTTTCTCAGCGAGAACCCAGACATCGATTCGACATCTAACCGACGTCGGAGAGGTCTAAGTTACGTCTAGTCTAAATGCACATCTAGAAAAATGGTAATTTCTTCTATTTTGAGTAAATTTTAATGTTTTACAATTTATTCACAATATATTGACCATTAAAAGAGGGATTTCGATAAAATTTCGGGATTTTATTTTGTCGATTATTTACAATCTCTCTAGACGTCTATTCGATGTTCAATCGACGTCTAATATATAGGGTGCCCCGCGTAAGATGTACGAAAAAAAAATTTAAGTAGAACAAATAAAAGTGAACAAAAATTATATAGGCCATTTTTCAAACAACCACGTAAAATTTCGAGATATTAATTAAAATAGTTGAGCATATCAGAGCGCGGCGACACGGCAGGCGGAACATACGGTTCGCCACGGTCGGCGAAGAAAATGGACGATTGCTCGCGGGCCTATTTTATAGGCCAGAGAGGTGGGCCGTTTGGCATACTGAAATCAGTAGCTCCGTGTGTGCGTCCGTGTACGTGTGCGTTCTTCCATTTTCTTCGCCGGCCGCGGCTTACGCGGAACACCCTGTATATCGTTTGCTTTTCGCGTAAAAATGTTTTCATTTTTACTAGAGATTTGACTTGAGGTACACAGGATATTTGTTTACTGATATTTTAAGACCCGCTACACTGGACATATCTCTTAATATGATATATCACAATAAACTTATTATAATATTCTTTTTTTTCTATAAATTTCTTAATATTTTATTAATAAATAAGTTATACTTAATTTATTCATTAATAAAATTAATACATTTTAGGTCGTTTTTTTTTTACTAAGACGTAAAGGTTTTTTTCTTTTATATAAAAGTAACGAGTTACTCTACTGTCTTGTAAATTTTAGCTCGTAATCACTATCCCAGTGAGAAATGACTTATTGATCGACGTCGAAATCGTCAAATAGACGTCAATTCGACGTCGATCGATAAGTCATTTCTC